AGCAACTTAACCAAGGATTAAAAAACAAACTTGGGGCACCTGGGTGGCTCAGTCGGTTAAGCGTCCGACTTCGGCTCAGGTCATGATCTCACAGTTTGTGAGTTCGAGCCCTGTGTCGGGCTCTGTGCTGACAGTTCACAGCCTGGAGCCTGTCTCAGACTCTGTGTCTCCCTCTATCTGTCCCTTCTGCTCACGCTGTCTCTCTCTCTCAAAAATAAACAAATATTAAAAGAAAAAATTAAAAACAAAACGAACTGAGATTAGAAATGTTGCTTAAGGGGCACCTGGGTTGGCTCAGTTAAGTGTCTGACTTCGACCCAGGTCATGATGTCACGGTTCGTGAGTTCGAGCCCCATGTTGGACTTTATGCTGACAGCTTGGAGCCTGCTTCGGATTCTGTGTCTCCCTCTCTCTCTACCCTTCCCCTGCTCGTACTCTGTTCTCTTTCTCAAAAATAAATACTAAAAAAAAAAAATTGGAAAGAAATGAACAGACCCCAATGCTTATTAGGGTAATATCAAAAAGTCTATCACATGTAATTAAGAGTCCCAGGAGAAGAAGAAACAGGGCAGGGAAAAAATTTGATGGCCAAAATTTCCCTAAATTTGGTGGATGACGAAACCCTACATATTCAGAGAAAAATACATAGTACAATATGAAGAAAACCATTCCCAGGCAAAAGAGCAAACTGCTGAAAACCAAGATAAAGAGACAATCTTGAAAGCAACCCTAGAGAAATGACATAATGTGAATGACCACTGACTTCTCAGAAACTAGAGGCCAGAATATAATAGAACAATATTTGCAAAGTACAAAAAGAAAATAAACTGTTAACCCAGAACTGTATTAACTGCAAAAGGAGACAAAGATGGAAATAGGACCGATCAGGCCAATATTCAGTGAAAATATCCTTAATGAACAGAAATGCAATTTCAGCTAAAAAGAAAACTAAAAATTCATCACCAGCACATCAACAAACGTTAAAAGCAGTCCTTGAGGCTGAAGGTAAATTATACCAACTGGAAAGAATTATAAACCAAATCAAAGAGCACTGGAAATAGTAAATTATCTGAGTAAACATAAACTTTTTCTCTTAAAAAAAATGTGAGGGGCGCCTGGGTGGCGCAGTCGGTTAAGCGTCCGACTTCAGCCAGGTCACGATCTCACGGTCCGTGAGTTCGAGCCCCGCGTCAGGCTCTGGGGCTGATGGCTCAGAGCCTGGAGCCTGTTTCCGATTCTGTGTCTCCCTCTCTCTCTGCCCCTCCCCCGTTCATGCTCTGTCTCTCTCTGTCCCAAAAATAAATAAACGTTGAAAAAAAAAAATTAAAAAAAAAAAAATAAAAATAAAAAAAATGTGAGTTTTCAAATGCAAAAATCATATTACCTTGCTGGGTTCTAACATATGTAAATGTTATATTCATGCTTTATACAGTAAAGTTGCAGGATGCAAAATCTATAAAAAGTCATCTGCCTTTCTATATACTAAATGAACTATCAAAGTGAAATTAAGAAAACAACCCCATTTACAACTGCATCAGAAAGAATAAAATACCTAGGACTAAATTTAGCAGAGGAGGTGAAACAGACTTGTACACCTGAAAAACTATTAAGACAATGAAAGAAATCAAAGGCATAAATAAATGGGAAGTATCCCATGCTCATGGATTGGAAAAATGCCATTAAAATGTTTACACTGCCCAAAGCAATTTGCAGATTGAAAACAACCCCTATCAAAATTACAATGGCACTTTTCACAGAAATAGGACAAACAACCCCAAAATATGTATGGAACCACCAAAGACCCCCAATGGCCAAAGCAATCCTAAGAAAGAACAACATACCTGGAGACATATTTCCTGATTTCAAGCTGTACTACAAAGCTATAGTAATCCAAACAGTTTAGTACTAGCATAAAAACAGATACATAGTTCAGTGAAACAGAATAGAAGGCCCAGAAATAAGCCTATGCATATCTAGTCAATTAATTTACGACAAAGGAGCCAGAGATATTCAACGGGGAAAGGACAAGCTCTTCAATAAAACATGCCAGGGAAACTGGACCACTATCTTACACCATACACAACAGCTCAAAACTGACTGAAGACTTGAATGTAAGCCCCGAAACCATAAAAACTCCTAGAAGAAAACATAGGGGTAAGCTCCTTGACATTCACCTTATTTAGCAAATGTTCTTTGTGGATTTGCCCACCCAAAACAAAAGCAACAAAAGCAAAAATAAACACGTGGGACTCCATGAAACTAAAAAGCTTCTGCACAGCAAAGGAAACCAAACAAAATGAAAAGGCAACCTACTGAATTGGAGAAAATATTACAAAGAACTCATATAAGAGCAAAAAAACAACCACCACATTCCATTTAAAAATGGGCAGAGGAACCGAATAGACATTTTCCCCAAAGAAGACGTACAAATGTTCAAGACACATGGAAAGTTGCTCAACGTTATTAATCATCAGGGAAATGCAAATCACAACCACAATAAGATATCACCTCATGCCTGTTGGAAGAGATATCTACACTTCTGTGTCTGCGATAACATTATTCACAACAGCCAAGATACAGAAACAACCCAAGTGTCTGTCAACAAATAGATAAAGAAGATGTGGAATATACATAAAATGGAATATTATTCAGCCACAACAAAGAAGGATATCCTGCCATTTGTGACAACACAGATGGAACTTGAGGGCATTATGCTAAGTGAAATTAACCAGACAAAGAAAAACAAATGCTGATATCACTTACATGTGAAATCTAAAACAAACCCAAACAAATGAAAACAGTCAAACTCACTGAGTAAAAAAGTGATTCCCAGGGACTAAAGGTTAGGGTAAATAAGGAAAGGTTGGTAAAACAGTACAAACTTTCAGCTATATGATGAATAAGTATCTTATGTAAAATATGGTGACTATAGTTGATAACACTGTAAAACTGAAATTTGCTAAGAGCAGAACGTGGATGTTTTCACCCAAAAATGAAGCAAAAAAAAAAAGGGGGTGATAGGTGTATTATAATTAACTGGATGGGAGTATCCTTTCATGATATGTGTGAACTCGCCATGACACTTTAAATCTTTTAAAATTTTATTTGTTAATTATATCTCAAAACTGAAAATCTAAAAATTAAATTATTACCTGTGGGGTTCAAAGGTATGTAAATATAGTGCATTTGCCCGGCAGGCACAGGCATCATGCCTGAACTCAAAGTACTTACCCCATTCCCTGTTTGAAAGCTTCGATCAACTCATTCTTTTTATTCTGATCTTCTACCCAGTACACACTTGGGATTACAAACTCTGATATCACACGGCATTCTGGACAAGACCTGAAATTAGAATCAGATCAGTATGGGCCAGATGAATTACAAACCCTGTGCGCACTGCACCACCAAACCCCTTGCTCAAATGCATGGCCACTCCAGGTGTTTTCCTAACCCAAAATTCCAAAAAGTGCAATCAGAATCATCTAAGAACCTTATTTCCTACATTTTTTTCAAGTTTATTTAAATTACAGTTAGTTAACATATAGTATAGTAATAGTTTCAGGTGTAGAACCTTATTTATTGTTAAAAACATATTCTTCTCAACAATAAAAAGACAACCCACTTTGAAATGCCTGGCTGGCTCAGTCAGTAGAGCATGTGACTCTTGATTTTGCAGTTGTGAGTTCAAGCCCCACCTTGGGTGTAGAGATTACTTAAAATAAAATCTTTACAAAAAACACACAAAAAACCCAATTTTAAAATGGGCAAAAGATCTGAGTAGGCATTTCTCCAAAATGGCTGAAAAGCACAGAAAAAGATGCTCAATATCATTAGTTATCAGGGAAATGCAAATCAGAACCATAATACATCACACTTCATACCCACGAGGATGGCTAATATCAGAAACAGAGGGGCACCTGGGGCGCTCAGTCAGTTAAGCTCAGACTCTTGATTTTGGCTCAGGTCATGATCTCATGGTTCATGAGTTCAAGCTCAGCACAGAGCCTGCTTAGGATTCCCGGTCTCCTCTCTGCCCCTTACCTGCTCGTGCTCCCTTTCTCAAAAATAGATACACTTAAGAAAATAAATAAATAAAATCCAGATACAACCAGTAACAAGTGTTGATGAGGTGGGGAGCAAGTGGAGCCCTCATCTGTGGTGTGGCCGCCGTGGAGAGCAGCCCGGCAGTTCCTCAATAAGCTGAACAGTTACCCTATGACCCAGCAATCCCACTTCTGGGTATCTACCCAAAAGAAATTCAAACATACGGCCACACAACAACTTGTGTGTGAATACTCATAGAGGCATTAGTTATTATAACCCAGAGAAAAACCATCCAAACGCCTGTCAACTGATGAACAAACAAAACGTGGACATCCACACAATGCAATGCTATTCGGCCGTGAAGAGGAATGAAGTGCCGGCATGTGCAAAATGGGCGATCTCTGAAAACCTGCTGAGTGAAAGTGCTGCACAGAGAGAGGCCGCGTACCGGAGGCTCCATTTACAATCAATGTCCACAATAGGCAAATCCACAGGACAGAAGGAGCAGGGGGAAAATGGGCAGGGAATGCAGACACAGGTTTCTTTTGGGGATGATGAAAGTGTTCGAAAACTAGATTGAAGTGATGGTTATACAACCGTGAAAATACTAAAAACCACTGAACCGCACACTTTTATTTCAATAAACCTGTTATTATTGTACCACACAAATGTGTGACTTGAGGCAAGTTACTTGACATCACTATACCCCAGTTTTCTTATCTGTAAAAGAGAATGATCATCACTGGGTCTGAGAGAATTATGACAAACGGTTGTGAAGAGTTTCTAACAGTACACAACACACTTTTCAATATGACTAAGTTCTTCCCCCATCCCTCCGCAAAACTGAAAAATCCTATGTTGTTTTCTGTCAGTTAAATCTCAATAAAGCTGGGGGGAAGAAAAGGATCCTGTGTTGGCTCCATTGAGCACATCCTACGTGTCAGACACTACGTGAAATGTGTTAGATGCATTATTCCATTTAATCCTCCAACAACCCTATTTTACATATGAAAAAAAAGTTTGAGAAGGTGAACAGGTAATCAGCCTAAGGGCAAAGAGGAGTCAAATAGGCCAGTGCCATTAACACCTTCTCACACAGCCAATCCTTGCTGAGTGTCCCCAGACACCCTAAAGGCCAGCAGCAGGCGGCAGGAGTTGTGAGGTTGTGACCAGTGTTTTAAAGGAAAAGGCACTCGGGCTCAAGAAGGATACCTGACATGCCCAGGTCCCTGCAGTCAGGGGCTAGGATTCACACTAGTTACCTTCGCAGTGCAAGACAAGGGAGGGATGAAAAGTGGACAGAAGGCCCCAAATCGAACCCCTAGCTGAACTTACTTAATGATTGGGTTCTCAAACTGCTTGGCACACCTCCACTGCCGAATGCAGGACAGGCAGTACGTGTGATTGCAGTTGGAGAGAATCCCGAACCTCCTCTCAGAAGCAGACGCCTTCTCAAGGACCACTTCCATGCAGATACTGCACACTTTGTCCTGACTTGCTTGGAAGGCAAAGGCCTTTTCCATCTCGTGTTCGAATGTCGACATGCAGATCTGAAGTATGGAGAGAGAGGAGGGAAACTTCTTATTAGGTTCTGGGCTGCTGGGGAGCAGGCTGTGGCCACAATGCCATAGCCAAGATCAGCAAGGAATGCACTCTGACAGCCACAGGCAGAGCCCAGGCGGTCCCTGCCTTGAGGACACAAAGCTCTCTCAGACAACAAAAAGACTTCAAACCAATGCCGGCCCAGCCCCTTGCTTTCCTAGCATGTTATGGTCACCCCCAGTTTAGAGCTGAGACCACGGAGGTCCCAAAAGATGAGAGGACCAGTGTGGGATCACAGAGTTCACAAAGCCTGGGGCCATGATCTCCTGGCTCTTCTGGGTGCTGTCTTTGCCCACTCTGAACCACACCAATTACCAGAAGTGCTGAATAATCCTTAACTTCAAACATCAGGCCGGTAGTCCACAATCAGAGGGAAGCAGCACTGCTTCTCAAGAGAACAAGTTTATTTAATGAATGTACTCATTCAGTGAGCAGATGCTGAATACCTCCGGTGTGATGCACTGTGTATCAAGTGTGAGAGCCAATGCAAAGAGTATGAAGACCTAGGCTCTGCCCTTGGGAGCTCGTGGTGGACACAGATGGGAGACTAACCAGTATGTATAGGACAAAGGCCAACTAACCTGGGTGCAGAGGAAAGCTCTAATTCTGTGCTCACCTGAACATCCCTGCGGAGACAATGGACAGTGGCAGACTCCCCTCACACACCATGGCCTGCTCGTCCTCATAAGCTCTAACACTATAGCTGTGGGCTCCTCTCTATCTCTCTCACCCCATCTTTATTCCGAGCACAGAGCCTAGGGGAGGCAGCACCTCCATGAACACTGGGGACCTAATGACCTGAAAGGTTCCTTCCAATACTTGGCTTCTTAAATTCTCTAGAACTCAGCCTGGCTGGATCTCAGCCACAAAGATATGTAAACCTAGGGAGGGTGAGGGTGTGTGTGTGTGCGAGAGAGAGAGAGAGAGAGAGAGAAAGAGAGAGAGAAAGAGAGAGACACATACATGTCTTCTGATGCCTCTACCCTTTTTCTTTATTCTAAATAATCAAAAATTGTCAAAATGACAACAGGAAAAAGGACTTGAAAATCGAGTATAAATATGCCAGGTACACACTGCAGGTATTATTGGCAGAAAGATGGCTTACAGGAATACCAACAATTTTGTCACTTAGCCCACTTCAAATTTCTTGAAATGAGCTCATGCAAAAAAGCTTGTGATTTTACCTTCTCATGAGCTTTCCTTTGCTCTGGGTCAAAGGGGTGCAGCACTCGTAACCTACAGATTTCACACACTTCCCCGTGCAGGTAGACACAAGCATCCCCAAATCGGCACTCCCCAGCAGCCGCGTAGGGGCACAGCTGCTGCTCACTGCTGTAGGAGCTGCTGGCTTCTAAGTCATCAAGGCCACTCCTGATGGCATCGAGGTAGGAATGCGGCTTCATCTCTGGGCCATTCTGGAGATCGCTGCAGCCTCCTGGATTACTCACCACACTTGGGCAAGTCTTTTCTTCAGCCATGCCAGAGAGATCTTAATACAAAACACACGGTACACACAAAAATGAAAACTGGCCCAAAATTTCTGGTAAGCACTTAGTCAAAACCTAACAAATTAAGTAACTCTGACCTTGGGAATTCTACTCTTTGGATCATACAGAAATAGGCCAAGAGGGAAAAAATAGAAGGAGAAGTATAAAATGTTCTTGATGACATTCCTGCAACCATGATTTTTTAAGAAAGGAAAAAACATTAATTGGCAACACAGGAAAACAGCAAAACAGACCATGATATCTGTATAGAGAGGAACACTCAAGTTGCGGTTTAAAGATGACAACTATGGAAATGTCAACCATGGACCCATTAACACTAAAAAACAATCATGAGAATTTTTTTTTTAACACCATAATAGAAGTCAAATGGAATTTAGAATGATGTCGGTAGAACACAGTGCTTTCCTTTATATTAGGAAAGTTACCTATCATTTTAAAGTGAACGATAATCAAAATCTAGAGCGAGCCTCTGGGTCCTGAAGCCAGTGTTGACTCCCCTATGGCCCCCTCCTCACACCAGGAGCTGTACCCTCTGCCGCATGCGCTTCTAGCCTTTTTAGAGAGGACACATTCGATTAGTGCGATTACTTGTTTGCTTAGGATGGAGACTACCTAGCTAACGCAACACAATTCCAAGAGCTAGAAATCCCTTCACCTGCTGAGGACCAACCAATAAAAATAACTTGTATGGTTTGTAGCCTACTTCCTCCACAAACCCCATTATGCTATTCTATTACCAAAGCTGTAACCTAACATACCAAACAATGGCTGAGCACAAGAACTAAGACTATGAACTGACCTGGAAGTAAAACAGTGAAACATGTGCTTTATCAAAATATGTAGCTCTGAAAGCCTGGTGCTTCTCAGAACCACCCCATACAGACAGCAGTTAAAAACTGACAAAAGGTCACTCCACATGTCTTGTCAGGCTGAACTTGGCAATCAGCCCAACCCGAGACCCACTGCATCAACTGTACGCTCTGCAGCCAAATGCAGCTGCTCTCAGGACAGTTCTGGGCTCCACCCTTGAACAGCTTGGAGGGGACCAGATTAGGAGCCCTCTGACAAGAGAGGGCCAGAAAGGAGCATGACGAACAACCCGAGACTGCTTTTCACTCTGCTCACTCACTTCGGTCTCGAAGTACCAGTGTTCTCTTTTCACGTTTCCCAGGCTCATGTAAGTTAGTTTTCACAATAGATGCAGTGAGGTCAGAAGCAGGGTGAGGACTATGGAAACCCGGGGAGGACACGCCATGGGGCACAGTGCCCACAGCACCACCAGCTGCAGCAGAAGGTCTCGTGTGATCGTATCTAAACAAAACACACAGCAAACATATGAAGGACACATGACCTGCACATGGAACATCCTTTCTTCTCCTTTTGTGGAGGTGGAGAGTGAGACAATCATTTCCCATATTTTAAATGATAAAAGGCTTGGGGACCCTGGGTGGCTCAGTCAGTTAAGCATCTGACTCTTGATTTCGGCTCAGGTCATGATCTCACGGTTTATGAGATAGAGCCCTGTGTCGGACTCCATGCTCACAGCACGGAGCCTACTTGGGATTCTCCCTCTCCGTTTCTCTCTGCCCCCCCACTGTTCACACTCTCTTTCTCTAAAAAATAAATAAATAAATCTAAAACACAATCCTTAAAGAAAAGTGAGAAAAAGCTTATCAATTAGCTTTGCGCAGTGGCGGTATTGCAGCCAATGAGGTTCATCTGACGTGCAATTATTGCTAATTGAAAAGTTTTCCCAAAAGCTTATCAATTAGTACAAAATGCCTGGCAATTCAGACTGAGCGGTACATTGCTATCTATCACCTACACTTAAGTGGCCTTGTGGGATGTGCGTGGGACAGACAAAATAACCCACACCACACACAGACATCCCCAAAAGTCCAGCCAGACGTTGAACTGAAATCTTCTGAGATCCAAGCCAGTGTTCTTCTGGCAGGTGTCCCCAAAATGTTAATGATGGCCAATGTAACAGCCGGGCGGGCCTTTCCTGGACTGTCTCTCTGGGGCACCTGCCGGTGGGGCAGGGACAACTTCCACCACCCTCCAGGCGGCACAGGAAAGAACAGATCAGCTCTTCACCATAAAAGCACTTGAACTGAGTTTTGGCATGTTTTTCTGTTTAGAATTCACAAAACTTGCCTACAGATGTCAGTGGAAAAAAGGCAGACTCTATATGCATATATATGTTCACTGCAGGGGTACTCATAGCAAAAAAAACAGGAAACCACTTAAATATCTAAGAGAGGAATAGTGAATCAGATGATGGTATGTTAGCACTATGAAACATAAAATTACATTTAGGAAATAAAGTAGCAGCTTAGGGAAAAACTTGGACATGTTAAGTGGGGAAAAAAGCAAGAGATACACACTGTGAGCGCGATTTTATAACTAGAGACCCATAAGAATAAGGCCTGAAAAGTGATTTTGAAAAATTACAATTATTTTCATGGCAATAAAATTGAGATTTCAAAATGATTTTGCCATACTTTTTGTTGTCATATTACTTTCAAATTAAATCTTTCCTCTCATCAATACCCACACTCCACGTGAGGAATCTGAATCCCTGACAGTAGTTAACTTGGGAGAAAAGCTGGCAGTAGCTGTGGAGCCCTTGCCTGCAACGAGTCCCATAGGCGCAGTAGCCCTTCTGATAGTACTTGCAGATGGTGGATGGCTTGCTGTTGGCCAAGTCATGTGAGAACAGGCACTGGTTTCCTTCCCGACACACACCATGCATAAAATACCTGAAGAGACAAGCAGAGGCATAAAACTTTTAGAAGCTTTCTAAAACTTTACTTTATAAGATCCCCATATTCTTAAGCCTAGCATATAAATGCTTATTATGCATATATTATGTATCAAGGCTCTATTAGGCACTGGAGATGTCCATATTTCCTGGATTCTAGGACAGTGATTTTGGACGCACAACTAATTCAACGAGATTTCTGGAAGAAAAATGATCCCATAAATTTCTGTTTCCAGATAACCCTCTTGATTTGAGGTGTTGCATATGTAAATGTGAGCCTCAAAACTGAGAAAATGCTCTCTGAAAATCTGTTCTATCTGTTCTCTCTGTTCTCACAGGGTTTAAAGCGTATGGTTGTAATGGAATTGCAAGACCTGAGCCCAAGATCCAGCCCTGCCACCTATGAGCAAGCCACAAAACCAACTTCCTTATGCCTCACTACTTCCATCTAGAAAATGAAAATTACACTTCCTACTTTACTGGGTTGTGGCAAAGATCAAGTAACGGAGTGCTGCACCAAAAGAAATATATAAGATGTTCCACCGAGAGGTCTAATTCTGGTCCTGAAGAAGTAACTGGGAAGCATTCTAATTCTGTCCAGCCAGAGTAGAGACACCTGGCAAATGGTAGAGAGATCCCAAAGGGACATGCCTTGGTAATAAGGGTAAAGAGTCCTAAAGTAAAGAGTAATTTTAAAAAGTTTTTTTTTTTTTTAATGTTTATTATTTATTTTTGAGAGAGAGAGAGGAAAGCACAGAATCTGAAGTAGGCTCCAGGCTCTGAGCTGTCAGCACAGAGCCCAACGCAGGGCTCGAACCCATGAACCGTGAGATCATGAGCTGAGTCACCCAGGCACCCCAAGAGTATTTTAGACCCACCCTAATAAAGCTTAAAAACAAGCTTCAAAAGGGTCAAGCTGACAGCAAATAACTGTCAGACAAAACCTACTTTAACAGTCTTTGAAGGAAGACCATAAAATCCAAATGCTCAAAAACACTCACAATGGCATCCAATAAAAAATTACTAGAGATGCCAAAAAGCAGACAAATGTGACCCATAACCAAGGAGAAAAATTAGTCAATAACAGGAATGACAGATGATGGAATCAGTAGACAAGGACTTTAAAAACAAAGATCATAAATATGTTCAATTATGCTGAGTATGAAAGAAATGGAAGAAATAAAAAAGAACTAAGTGGAACTTCTGGAAGTGAAAACTACAATATCTGAAATGCAGATTACACTGCAAGAACTTACTGTAAATTAGAGAGAACAAAGGAACATTTCAGAAGACCTGAAGACACAGCAACAGCAACTATTCAAACTGAAACACAGAGAGGAAGAAAGAACAGATTTTTGCTTCTAGCTATGAAAGAGCCCTCCAATTAAAAACAAACAAACGGGGTGCCTGGGTGGCTCAGTCGGTTGAGCGTCCGACTTCAGCTCGGGTCACTCGCGGTCCGTGGGTTCATGTCCCGCGTTGGGCTCTGGGCTGATGGCTCAGAGCCTGGAGCCTGCTTCCGATTCTGTGTCTCCCTCTATCTCTGACCCTCCCCCGTTCATGCTCTGTCTCTCTCTGTCGCAAAAACAAACAAACAAACAAAAAAACTAGAAAGCAGAACACAATATAGGAAACAACTGCTCTGAGACAGGAACAAAAGGCAACCCAAGACTGGTCCTTGAGAGAAGGGAAACGAGGTAAGCCCACATTCAGCCTGGCTTTCTGCTGAGAGGCACACTCTGGGCCTTGGTGCAAGGAGATGAACCCCAAGCAGAGCACAGCAGTCTTGCTGAGCTGAACAGACACAGACTGGAGTTCAAGGAGGCTGAGGGAATCTCTTTAAAGAACTTGTAAATAGTCACATACACATGGCCAACTGACTTTGGTAAACTTGTCTGCGTAACTCAATGGGGGAAAGAATGGTTTTTTCAACAAATAATGCTGGACCCAGTATCTACATGGAACAAAATGAAGTTGAAATATTACGTGTCTGCTGATGTGACCCAATATGGATTAAGTACACAGCATAGCCTGTGATACATTCTAGCCAAAAAAATTTAACTTGAATCCAACAAAACTCCAGATCTAACCCCCAGTTTACAGGAAATGCAGGGGACTGAGAACAAGCTAAAAGCCATCACGAGAAAGCAATCAGATAAATATAAAAGAAGAGGCGGTACGTGGGCCAGGTTTCTTTAACAAGTAAGTGTCATGGAAGGAGTAGAGGGAACCTGAGTTTGGAAAAACAGTTTGGTGGTTTTTTTAAAACTTAAATTTACCATATGACTCAGTAATTCTACTCTTGGGTGTTTACACAAGAAAAATAAAAACGTATGTTCACACAAATACTTGTACATGAATGTTCATATAAGCATCATTCATAACGGCCAGAAAGTGTAAACTTTTACAATTCCATCAACTGGTGAATGGATAAGCAAAATGTAATATATCCATACAATGGGAATTACTTGGCAATAAAGGAGTGAAGCACTGATGCATGCTATAATGTGGGTGAACCTCAAACACATTAGGGTTAAGTGAAATAACCCGAACACAAACGACCACATGTTGTATGATCCTACTTATATGTAATGTCAAGAAGAGGGGCAGAGGTGCCTGCTGGCTCAGTTGGTAGAGCGTATGACTCTTGATGTTGGGGTCATGAGTTCAAGCCCCATTTTGGGCACAGAGCTGACATTTTAAAAAAAGGTCGGGGGTGCAAATCCATAGGGACAAAAAGTAGGCAAGTGGTTCCTCAGGCTGGGAGAAGGGGTAATGCAGAGTGACTGCAAATGGGCAGGAGGGGTAACTCTGGGGTGATGAAAATTTTCTAAAGTTTAATTGTGGTCTTATAAAACTCTAAATTTACTAAAAATCATTGACTTGTATGCTTAAAATGTGTAAATTTTATGGTATGTAAATTATACTTCCATAAAGCTGTTAAGAAAAATTTAAAAAGGAGGGAGCTGTGCTAGGTTAGTAGACATTACATAAGGTACATAAGAACCCGATGCAATGTTTAGTCCAGGATTATATTCCAGTGTGAACAAACCAGATGTAAAAGACATGTTCGGAACAAATGGAGAAATCTGAGTATGGACTAAGATAAAATGAAAACTTACTGACATGGAAAGTTCAAGATTATTAACAAAAAAGCAGATTATAAAACAGCATTTATAGGGGCGAGTGAGTGTCTCAGTAGGGTAAGCATCCGACTTTGGCTCAGGTTATGATCTCGCAGTGTGTGAGACTGAGCCTCGCATCAGGCTCTGTGCTGAGCACGAAGCCTGCTTGGGATTCTCTTTCCCTCCCTCTCTGCTCCTCCCACCACCCTCAAAATAAATAAATAGATTTTAGAAAACAATCCAGAAAGATATATAATAGCATATTTTTAAATGTTTACTTATTTTTGAGAGGGAGAGAGACAGAGTGTGAGCGGGGAAGGGGAAGAGAGAGAGGGAGACACAAAATCCGAAGCAGGTTCCAGGCTCTGAGCTGTTAGTATGGAGCCTGATGTGGGGTTTGAACTCATAAACTGTGAGACCACGACCTGAGCTGAAGTCGGAAGCTCAACCCACTGAGCCACCCAGGTGCTCCAATATATGATAACATATTAAGAGAGGCAATCTTTGTGGGTAAAGTATATTTACTTTCTTCTTTTTCCTGATCTGTATGTTCTAACATTTCTACCATGAACATATACTGCTTTTGTAATAATATACGGTTATTTTAGTTTTAAAAACATACACATTGGCAAGGGTATGGTTAAAAAAAATATAAAATGCTCAGTACAGAACCTATCTCACAGTAGGTACCCCCAAAGTCCAGCTCTCATTAAAGTCCAGTAAAGAACAATGACAACTAAGCTGACGTTATAAAAGTGACCTGTGCCTTATCACAAAGCATGCAGAGTGCTGAGGGGACACATACCATGGGCTGAGAGAGGGCAACATCCCAGAGGTCAGGTCCAAGCAGAGTCTGCAAAGTGGTAGGGATGCCAGTGGGAGAGAGGAAAGAGAGAACAGCAAGAAAAATGCACAGAAGAGAGGCACTGTAGGGGGTTCAAACAGGCCTGCCGAGAGATGACGCTGGAGCATCATTTAACTGTGCTCCAACTTACCCTATGTCAGCTGAGACACTGATGAGTGCATCTCAAAACAAGAGATAACAAATGGTCAAGTCAACTTAGGAAATGGCACAATCTAGTCTTTCTTAGAGATTTACAACAGAGAGTAGCAGAGGAAAGGTTCTGAGAGTTCTGTCATAAAGAAAACTGTTTACAGGCATACTTTGCTTTATAGTGCTTTGCAGATACTGCATTTTACAAATTGAAGGTTTGTGGCAGTCCTGCTTCGAGCAAGTCTGTTGGTGCCATTTTCCAATAGCATTTACTCACATCTGTCTGTGTCACATTTTGGTAATTCTTGTAAGACGTTAAACTTTTTCATTATTATTATATGTTACAGTGATCTGTGACCAGTGACCTTTGATGGTGCTATTGTAATTGTTTTGAGGTACCATGAACCATGTCTATATGAGATGGCAAATTTAATCAATTAATGTGTGTGTTCTGACTGCTCCACCAACAGGCTGTTCCCCATCTCTCTCTCCTTCCTTTGGGTGGTTCCCCGTTTCCTGACACACAGTATTGAAATCAAGCCGATTAATAACCCTACAGTGGCCTCTAAGTGTTCAAGTGAAATGAAGAGTCCTAAGTTTCCCACTTTACCCTAAAAGCTAGGAATGATTCAGCTTACTGAGGAAGGCATGTCAAAAACTGAGAAAAACCAAAAGCTAGGCCACTTGCACCAAACATTTAGCCAAGTTGTGAATGCAAAGGAAAAGTTCTTGAAGAAAATTAAAAGTGCTACTCCAGTGAACGCACAAATGATAAGAAAGCCAAACAGCCTGAGCACTGATATGGAGAAAGTTTTAGGATGGAGAGAAGGTAACACCAGCCAAAGCCTAATTGACAGCAAGGCCCTAACTCTCTTCAAT